GCCCATATAATTAATACCTACCAGAGCATCCAGCTGAGCAGAAGCACATAGAGTACTAAGGTGTTAGGTGATTAAAGCTGAGCTAGGGCTCCAACAGGAAAGGAATGGTTTATCTGCTTACACAGAGCTTTTATGTCTTCACAGTCCTGACTGCAGTCTTCTTGTTTTTCTTCTCCCTTAGGGTCCATGGAGTTCTCTACAGTGGTCTTTATGGGGGAAAAAAATAATTGTGGAAGGAACTTCAAATAATTTTGCTTGTGGCCTTAACAGGGGGAAATTCTTGAGGGTGGTTGCCTGCTATCCCAGTTCTTTCTGCAGAATGTTGGCTTTCGGTTAAAATTGTTATACTGCTAGTCCTCAGAGGGTGCACTGATAATGTGAATTTTCAAATGTGAACAAATGTGAAATGGAGGAGTGGTGTTTTCTTGTATCTGTAGTCAGACAGACTGAAACATTATCTGTGAGCAGCATAACTTACTCTTATCTCAGAGGCAGCCTAGGGTTCACTGTCATCAGTTAATTCATTATAAAGGCATTACACGCTATTAGGCAGGGGATGAATAATAGCTAAAACACATAGAAACCTTTAGACCTTGTAAAGATGCCAAAACCCAAGTAGTTTGCACTTAAGACAGCAAAAGAAATGTAAAAAATTAACCAAAAAAACCAACCCCACAACATGCTACATAAATTTGCCTGCCTCAGTTGTTGGGTTTTTTTCCTAACAAAATTTTAAGCATTTTCAGTTCAGATCAGGGTCATCTGAGAAACTCAGGATCCCTGCACTTGTTCTCTCCTCTGAATAAGGGTAAATTTTTCTTTCCTACACTCTGCTTCTTTCTTCCTTACCCAGCCCAGCAGTCAGCCTTTGGCTAAACTTTGTTTTCTCTGTGGCTCTGTCCCCAGCAAGCTTCCAACACCACTGGGTCCTTCCAGGACTATCACCTCTCCGAGCCTGGTAACTACAAAACTAGGAACTTGGTGTTAATGCTTATTCTTTAGGTTTTGTATGTAATAAAATTCCACTGCTTCAGTCCCTCTTCTTTCAAATAAGCTATACTGGTTTGCTTTCTTTGCTGGCTTTATTTCTTCCAGTGTCCTAAGGTGCTCTGCTTAAGTAAGGTTTAATGAAATCTCTTGCCTTAAATACAGGTGACTCCACATATGCAGAAGCATTCAATAACCCATAGAATTTGTAACTTTAATATTGTCAAGTTTCCTGAATTGTTAGACCTACTGTGATAAGTCATTGACTGCTGTCAACCATGAAATAATTATTCAGGTTTGTGTTTTGTTTTGTGGACGGTGGAATTTATAGGTCATTTTTATTTCTTTGGTACAGTTGTATTAGCACAGAAAGTCTGAAGTAAAAGGCTTGACACAGATAGAAAAAAAAAATTCAATCTGAGACTGCCAAGGCCCAAAAATAGAGCAATAACCCCAAATGAAGAATAAAAAATAATAGCTTTATTATTATTTATTGCACCATTCAAAAGTGTACTACTTGCTTCAAGTGCACAACAATGTTCCTTGCAGTGTTCCCTGGGAGATCTTTTGTCCTAAAGTCACACAGACCTCGTTATGTGTTATGTTGTCTTATTTTGATTTAGATTAGATAAAAAGTGCCTAGACATCGGCTCAGAGTGTTCTGCCAGTTACTTAAAACTATAAAACTCAAGTGCAATGCAATCAGTTTAACTCTTCTACCAAGCAGCACACGCAGTCAAATCAAGTATTAGTGGTCCCTTACATTAGTCCACTTCTTCAAAGATGAGGTGAAACACACAGTCCTTGCATTGCCTTGAAAACCGATAGCAAGCAGCCTAGGGTAGCATGTCTTGGTGTTTACCTGCTGCACAGAAGCTCCCAAAACGCATTTTGCCGTGTCTGTATGTTCACTGAAATAAAAATATCTTCACGTGTCCAGTCTGGTAATAGGACTAAATCAAATAGTACCTTGCCACCAGCCTTGCCAACCTCCGATGCGCAAAAATCATGAGCTAGACTATCTCAACATTTATGACAAAAATAATTTGATTTCTGAGTCTTAAGATCAAATTCAGTTCACTTTCGATTTTATACTTTTATTTCAAACGGGTCCTGGAATTGTCACGTTATCATTTGCAGCAGGGAGTTGGGGTGTTACCAATATACCAAATATATCAAGATATACCGGGGAAGAATCAGCAGTGTTAGTAACAAAACATGACTTACCCATCTGACCTGAGGAGACATTCCACAATTATTTTTTTCCCCCATAAAGACCACTGTAGAGAACTCCATGGACCCTAAGGGAGAAGAAAAACAAGAAGACTGCAGTCAGGACTATGAAGACATAAAAGCTCTCCTCAACCCTGAGGAAATCATCCCAGAAAATGTCTTGGACTTAGCACTTTGTAACAAAACATGGATAATTTTTTATAGTAAATCAATACATTTCAACTAGTTATATATTTCAGATCAAGAAGCTAGCTAGTTGTATAATTCCTGGCATGATTTGCCTTTTACATACCAGCAGAAATATGTACTACTGAGAAGACAGTAGTGGAGTTTACTGGCATTTAAAGCTAAGGCAGCATGAACACCGAGCTGGTCTTATTAGCTGCTGCAACTTCCAGTCTGAGGCAGTGAGGCGATATTTTCTTTCAGTCCCTTTCTCAGATATGCTGTTTCTTCTCAATATTGGGTGGAAACAGTTCAACTGTTCTCATGAACATAGCTACAATTGTTCAGAGGTACTAAATGGTATCTTTTTTCTTCATTTTTAATTTTGGCAAAGCAACGATTGATTTGTGTCCGTAGAATAGCTAAAGAGAGGTCTACATTTTTTCCATATTTTGAAATTTTAATGAATGTTCTTCTGAGATTTACGTCCATATCTTGCTACCTTTTCTGGTAATTATTTGAGAAGGTAGCAGAATCCAATGACAAGAATAGGAAGAGATAAGTAACATCTGTGTCGTACTGGATGTTCACCAAGTAGGGAGTTATGATTGCCAGTGAAGTCTTTGGCTAGATTTGCATTGTAATTATATGTCTGATGATAACGCAGGTTGATTGCTGTGTGGGTGAGGAAGGGTGCTGTTTTTCTTTTTATCTGAGAGTGTCTACACAATACACTCTTGCTGTCCAGTAATAGGAATGCAACATAATCACAACCAAATGAGTTTTAGTCTTCCTAGCTTGGGAATCAGCAGCTGAGGAATAACACAATTTCAGTCTCATGCCTTCCAAGCTGGTTGGAGAAAGATAACTCAGTATTTTATTGTACTTCTAATTGTAGCAAGGTTCTGCCCTTAATGTTGACATTTGTCTATTGTTGCAGCCATGATTTTCAGGCTTTTCAGATCTGTCATTTAATTTTTAATAACTCTCTGCTTGAGCATTCAAGTTCCAAAATATCAGTGGCCAAACTTCTTGAGACCCTTTTCAGGCTCTGATTTATCCATAAGCTTTGCCAATGGTAAAAATAATAAATTAGATAATTTTTGCAGGAGAAAGTCTGCAAGCAAATGGAAGATATCCTATTCAGATGGTGGATTAAAACCAGGCTAGCTCTCTATACAGATAACAGGAAGAGTGTACCCCTCTATATCTCATACTGAACTGAGAATTGAGGGTGTGATTTCTATAGCTGTTTTTTCATGCACTCAGTTTGCAGGACTGCTCGCCATTCCTGTAAATATGAAGCAGTGGAAGAGGACAAACAATGTGCAGGTCTTTAGAGCAAGGAGATGGTTTCGAGTCAGAGGGTGAGAAATGTACTTGTTAGGGGAACTGCTAAACACTAACTGCAGGATTTCCACTTTCTAAACCACTCAAGGTGTTTGTTTGATAAAGCCAAAGGGACTCTCTGCATCAGGAAAATTATTAAACAACAATTCTTTTTTTTTTTAATACAAGCAGGTAGAAAGTTAATTGGGAGAAACGCCTTAGTAAAAGATACTCATGTATCTTCACTTTAAAGGAATGCCTTGCTAATTATGATACTGGATAACTCTCACTTCTTTGCTTTGTTTCAATTTTATTTCAATTGAGCATTTTTGAACAGGAGTTTAGTTTGAGGGTTTTTTACCACCTTTCAGGCATTTGTACTCTGTGTATATGCATATAGCTTCATTAAAGTGATGTGAAAATGTCTCCTTTGAAAACACATCAGCTGCAGCCCTGTTTGCTCCCTTAAAATTTGGTAGCAATAATGTACTGGGGAGTGATGGTAGAATGTCTCGCAATTGTTGTCTTTGGTTATGGACCTTGATTTCAGGTTGATTTATCTTTTTTATACTTTAGCTCATTTTTTAATGCTGTTTTGAACTCAGAAGATACCTTTTGAAAATGTGAAAATGAAGTGTTTCATATTTCTGGAATATAACTTTTCAGCTAAAGGTGTTGAATTGAACCATTTTGCTTTTTTCGGAACTCCCTTGTTGTCTTTTTCAGCCGAAATACTTTCCAGAATTTGACCCACATGTGTATTGAATGTTTCTGTCCTTCAGAATCTCTTATTTCTCAGCAAGCACACGATACTGTGTTGCTGAATAAAAACCATCTGCTCCTCACATGTGAATCAGCTGGGGCTACTGTTTGGTGCAAAATGGTAACCAAAATGCCGTAGCTTGACTGTGGAGGAAATGGGGAATAAGAAAATTATTTTGTCTTGCATATAAAGTATGCTTAGCTATATATTAATTGTCTTTGAATTAAATCCTTCTGTTCTTGACTGTCTTCCCAGACTAGAGGCTGGCAGGCAGCCCTATCCACAACAGAAGAAACACATGCTGATCTTTCAGTGTGGTTTTAAAATCAGTAGGACCTGTTGCTTATAGAACTTCAGCACTTGCCCAAGTTTACTGTGCACTTCAGCGTTGCCCTGAAAGCGCCAAGTCCGCGTAAAAGGTGGCTGTGTCGGAAACACATCCCTGCCTCACGACGCTGACATTAAAGGAAAAGGCAACTTCAAGTCTGTTCTGACAGAAGTGTTTTGTTTCCTCCTGTTGCAGATGGGAAGCCAGTGTCGCTGTCTCCACTTGAATCCCAGCCCCACAGTCCTCGGTACACGGCGTCGAGCCAGCGGGAGCGCGAGAGCTTGGAAGTCCGCATGCGGGAGGTGGAGGAGGAGAACCGCGTGCTTCGCAAGCAGCTCAGCCTGGCACAGAGCCGCAGCCCCTCACACCACCGCGGCAATCACTCCAAAACCTACTCCATGGAAGAGGGGACGGGAGACAGCGAGAGCCTGCGGGCTGGCATTGTGGCAGGGAACAGCTCCGAGTGTGGGCAGCAACCAGCAGTGGAAAAATGTGAGGTAAATAAACCAAAGGAAGACGCCAGAAACAAAGCTTGATAGATCTGATCCTATAAGGACATCGCAGATCCCGATCTCCTTCCCCCTGAGCCTTTCTGCTCAGAAACCAGCCTTTTAAAGGACTACTGGGTGCAACTTCTTAGATAATTTTTAATTACTCTTTTTTTTTAAAAGAACTTTAAAACACTTAATCATCTGGGTATCTTCTGAGTTACTATTTGACCATTTTTTTTGTCTTTTTTCATTCTTGTGTCCCCAAACCTGGTGTGAAAATCAAAGCCTTGTTCCAAGCTGACTTCAGTACAGCTGTGCTGATAAAGACCTGTGGCAAACTGACCCCGTGTGTTTCTAAATTAAATGAAAGTGCCGCAGTGCTTTGAAGAGCTTTATTCCTTTGTTTGTTCATCTGTACTAGAACAGTTCAGGGTTTACCGTTAATTAAATCGTGGCTTATGGAGACAGCCTGTGCTTTTGAGTCACTTTTAGGAGTGTATGTGGATGCTACTGCAGAGCCACCTGCTTTGCGTGAGCCGTGCACAAGAGCTGTGGATAGCTGCAAGGAACGGGAGAGCTGTTTCTAAGACAGTTTTGGGGAGTTGTTTTAGTTTGGTGTTCCCAGTTTTATGCCAGTAGTTTTGTGGATGTCCACCAGCTATTTAGTTGTCAGATATCTGAATCATGACGGTTGTGAATATGGATAGATCCAAATCAGAAAGTCTTGCTTAAAGGCCTTGTGCCAATCCCAGCCAGTGAAGATATAGAAGAGAATTTTTCCATTTTTTTTCTACAAAGAGGGTGATACCGTATCACCTTTTATCTTGCTTTCTGTCACTGGGAAGATAAAAGTTGAAAGAAAATAAGTGGGAGAGAAAAAGAAGTCCTAATTATCTCTTCAGATAGAGTCTGCTTAATGGGAAAATATCAAATAGCGTTTAAAAATGAATTATTGCTTTCCAATTGGACATCTTTGTCTGTCAGTGTGGAAAAAGGAACCAATATTGTTTTAAGGAGAGGAAAAAGGAGGAGTCTGTTTTTCACTTTCCCTCTTCCCAATAATGAGGGTCTGATTTTCCTCCCTCCAAGCATTTTGGCATTTCTTTTAATAAGGGAAGGTTCAGGCCATTGATGCGCAAACCTCACTTCTCTCTTATTATCATGCCAAGCAGTGATGAGCTGAATCTCAGTTCTTGGTTGTTCAATGTACCAACCAATTTGGGGCACAAAAATAGCAGCTAAAAGGAGGAATACTTTAAGTGGCCTTTCGGTTTATAATGTGTTTCGCCAATAAATTTACTTGCTCAGTGGGGTTTAGCATTGTGCCAGAGGCAATGATTATATAAAATACGAAACCTCACTTTATTTGCCAGCCCCCTATCTCACCACACACTATTTTGATAATGAAATAGCTTTTCCTTCTTTTTCTTAAGGAATTCACTCACTAATTCGGTAACAGCAATGGAAGTTAAAATTAAACTTCCTTATTATCAGATTTGCCAGAGGTCTCATCGTTCATCCTATTACTGTAGACTCTGGTTCCATGTTTGCGTGAGTGGTGTCTTAACTGCATTCACCCTCTGTTTTCAGTGTTTCAGTGGTGTAAACTAAATCTCTTTTAGCCTTTGACCCTGGAATATATCGCAGCAAGAGTCAATGACTTGGGTAGAAAGAGACAAGGGTCCTGAGGAGAAGACTGGGGCTCTGAGGGAGACAAAAAGAGCTAGGAATAGGTTGTTTATTTCATTGAGGCAGTTCTTTGAGATTTACTGAAGCTGACATTTCAGAATCTTATTTGGGATGGTCTTTAGCGGTAATTAAAACATTTGAAAATGCCGTTACAATGAATGAACATTAAATATCTGATAAAGCATAATCTGTGCGATAATAAGCATGATCTATATAGAAAAATAGCAGGTTTGTTGCATTCTGGCCACCGTTTCCTAGTCTGTTGCATCGCAAGAGAGCTCTTCTGGTATTATAGACTGGACCACCATTATACTGCAAGAAAAAGTCAGAGTTCCAACCAAGCGCCTTCTCCCTGGAGGGAGCAGATCCCTGTCATGCCTTCCCAGTAGGAGACAATTTTAACACAAACCTTGGAAGTAAAAGCAAGAGAATGCTGATGGAAGCTAACAGAATTACATGACTCTTCCTTATGATGTTATCCCAGTATCTTTTCAGATTGTGCCTCCATAAACTGGGCATTTAATTTGAATTAAGTGTGCATTTAAACATATTTTTAAAAGTGATTCTATATTAGAAAATGGTTAATTAGCAGTATAGCATATAGCAGGTTAGCAGAATACTTAACATCTGAAGCATTTTTACAGGCATATTTGTATTGTTACTGTTGTCAGTGGTGTTGCTCAGTAGGGTTAAGTGTGTACTGCTCCAGAGCCACAAAGAACAGGCCCCCACCAACTTAAGCACCATAAAACACAGGAAAAGCAGATGCTACTTGCCTCTGGGAAACACTTGTAGCATATTTACATTTTTGTAAATGCCTTTAATATCTTTTAACCACATCAACAATTATTTATGAAGGATTAAGTAACTGCAATGGAAGGCCTGGCTAGTATTACTGGAAAATTATTGAAGTATGAAATGCTTTGCCAAAGATTATTTTTAGCTATAAGAACTAATTAATGTTTGCTAAGCTCATTATTTCACGATTGCAAAAAGTAGCCTGAGGAGGGAAAAAAAACCCCACATTTATCTAGGCACCTTACACTCCTCATCAGCGTGCAATCTAAGGCCCAGTTTTTCAGGTAGTTTTGTGTGTTTTCTTCCCATTAATATTAATCCAGAATGGACTTACATGAAATACTGCTTTCAGAAACAGTTTTTCCTGGTCTGTTTCTAAACCATATCAGCATGCACCTTGGATTATTTAAACTCCTTTTCTTAAAGAAGCTTAACTTCCTCAAATGCCTGAGTTATCCGTCAAATTATTTAAAATAAAAAAAATTGTTCTCTTTGTGTCCCTGATCCCCAGCTATAGGAAGAACAGCTTGATTAACTTCCACAGTGTTTTGATTAGCTGTTCGTATCTGTGTGTATAGGCAGAGGAAGAATGCATTGAGTCTGGAAAGGAAGATGTATCATCATTTAGGCTGGTGCTGCAGTGAGTGCCGTTGGCTAAAAGCAGCTCCAGTGAATGGCCTGTGCCCAGACTTCTTGCAACATCTACTAGTGATGAACATGCCTGTCATTCAATTTTAAAAGAGCATTGCGGGAGGATGGACAATTTCAAGGAGCTCAGTTTAGTCCCAGAGTGACTTGTGAATATTCAGGCTAGAGTTTGACAACTAGAATTCTCGAAGATTGTAAACAGTGAGGAGCAAGTGTAGCATGCAGAGCCTTGGTGTGAGATGTCTGGAGGGACCTGTTGAACCAAGCAGACAGGCTGCCACATGTTGTGGAAGTTGGAACGTCCTTGGCTTATCTGGTTTCACTTCTAGGTGTTAGCTGCAGTCAGTGGGCCCGGAGGTTGTGTGAATCACGGTGGCCAGTTCTGGTGGGGTGGCGAGACAGTCTTCTAGCCACCTGCAGACGGAAAGTGAGGAGTTTGAGAGAGCTGTGATGCTGCTGATCAGTTCTGTAATCTGGGAGCTGATGTTTACAGTATTATACTCAGGAGGATGCAAGTTCTTTGAAGGGCTTCCTTGTTCCAGCCTCTATTGCCCTGTCTTGCCAGGATTTGGCCACAGCCAGCTGCTCTCTATCCAAATATGTGTTTGGAACAAGCATGGAGAAAATTGGGAAATAAAACTTTCTTCGTTAGGATGCAAATATCTGCAGACAGTTCAGGTTGTTGAGCTCATGTTGACTTATCAATTTTTCCACTGTTTTGTTTAACAGTTAAACAGCGAGGGGAGAGGAAAGTGAATCAAGAAAAGGAGGAACAGACTGAGTCTTGCAGCATGCTGCAGGCAAAAACTTTGGAAAAAAAGGACTAGGTTCCTATTCTCGTTGAGGATTATCGCTCTTCCCTATAGCTGATTGCAGGCAGGAATAGAAGTGATAAATAGTATCAAATGCCACGGAGAGGCTGAGCAGAAGGTATATGGATGCCTGTGTCTCTGAACGGGAGAGGGACAAGTGCTGTCTTCTTGCTGTGCCCTGGCTGGAACAGCGTGTGAGACAGCAGCGCCTACTAAAAGACACGCAGGAAAGCATACCTTTAATTTTGAAACAAAGAGATTTTAGGAAAAGGAGAACAGATGCGGAAAGTCCTTGACAGAATCAACTCTGATTTTGTGGGGATTTGAAAAGTGGAGAGAGAGAGGTTGTGAGGAGAGCTTTTCTGACAAGTAGAAGTAGTATAAAATGATGTTGACAGTGATATGACAGTGCTGTTCTGTCAAAACCCATCAAATGTTTGTGCCTGGTCCAGTGTCTTCAGGTGAAGCGTTTAAAGCAGGCATGAAACCATTCCCAGTTAATTTGATTTTAATTGGCATTGAAGGGAAGGATCTTAGGTCTTCCAAAAGCCTGAGAAAGACCAGGTGGCGGCCAGAGAAGATGCAGTGCGCGCAGCGTCAGGAATCCCTGCACCCACAGGAACCCATGCCCATAAGTATGGTACAAACCACTGCTGCAGTAGAAGTTGTCAATAAGCAAACCTCCATTCGCCCCTGCTGTTGTCACAAGAGAGAAACACAGTCAATTTTTGCAAAGCGCTGAGCATGCTCAACTCCCCTTGACCTTAACATAAATTTAAAGTGCTGAATACCTCGCAGAGCTGTTGCCAAAGTGTACGGCGGTATCTTTTCTTTCTCACAGCTCTCTGGACAGACAGTTGCCTTATTAATTCAAGTCCTCTTAAAACCTCAGATCTTCAATGTGCCTCAGCTTGTGAGGCGCGCCAGGGCAGGAGCCAGCTGCGATGTTCATGTGGGGGTTGCACAATGGCACAGCCACTTGGCAATTACGTGCTTCACATGGTGCCCTGTACCAGGCGATGTTAATGGATGGGGCTATGGGCTCTTTAGATGTGCCCAACACACGCCACCTCGTGTGTAAATCTGCTGCTGTTACAAGCCAGGCTTCGGGAATCTATGACTATGTGAGGAGGCAGAATTCCTCATTTGTTCTCTGCGTAGTGGGCTTTCTGTGGAAAATGAGAGCTGTGTGTGTGAGAAACCAGCTAACCAAGCTTCAAATGGAAGCCAAATGAGGCTTCCCTGCAGTTTCACAGCTGTGTCCCCAATCGCAGCTTTGTGCTGCCAGCATGGTGAACTCTCCTGCATTTCTGTGACCACTAAGAAACAGAAAAATACAGAAGCTGGAGTCAAAACTTGGTAACATTAATTTTCTTTTGTCCCCAGGGAATACCAGTGGCTAATTTTAAAACCAGAGAAGAGTAACTTAACAGCATTTTTCAAATTACTGCTTACTACTTAATAATAATGACTAGTAGCGCCTTTTCAATTTTCCCTTTCCGCTTGAAGAGACGAGTAAACCTCTGCCTCATATTAAAAGGGACGTAAGAAGGCACAGAATAAGTGATCATTTACCCAGGTGCTGGAGTGTGTGGAGAATCTGTACGTGGGGTTTATACTTAACTTCACACTACCACGGCCCAGTACAGCCCATACTGGTAGTCACAGGCAGGGAGGTGACCACCTGGCTTCACAGCTCCTGTCCTACCTTATCCCTGGGATGCCCCCAGCCCCTGGCAAACCAATTGTTCCACTCGTGCTCATCCATCAGAGCTTGCTCTCCCCCTCCTTAGTAGCTGTCCTTAAGATGGAAAAAATGCAAAATTTCCCAGACCGTATCTGCTTCTAATTATCAGACATAATTTTAAACTTTAGTTCAGGTTAAAGTGTCTGCATGTTTGCATACTCAGAATTTTGTGTGCTGCTAAGTGGGTATGTGTGTGTGTACACAGGCGCACACATATGCTCTTCACTAATAAATGCAATTCTGTTCAGACATCTGATGTAGTTTAGGGATAGTAATGACTGTGGAATGATGATGGTGTTATAACTCAATTAAGATGTTTTTAACAAACTGCCTCAAGTGGGCTGCAAACAGCTGCAAAACACCCACTCAAAGCTTTAACAATCGCCGCCCTAAATAATAGCACTGTCATGTATGTGCTCTCCTTAATGGGTGATAGAACACAGGACCAGGCTTTAATTTTTGTTCTTTTTGTTCCTTTTCTCCCACAGACCATCCACGTTGCCATTGTTTGTGCAGGGTACAATGCCAGTCGGGATGTTGTCACACTTGTCAAGTCTGTCTTATTTCACAGGTAAAGGTGGCTTTCTTGTATATTGTGTATCTCATTATGGCTAAATAAGCGCTTTTTACATTTACTCTCCTACTTCAAAAGAAAGTCAGACTCCCTTCCCTGGTTGCTTTTTCTTTGGAAGGAAGGAAGTATGAAATTTATGATGACCACAAATAGATTCACCTGTGTAAAGATTTCTACAGTGACTTAGAGAGATCAGAGATCCACCTGCTACTCCTGTTGCGTCGTGGGAATAGTGACAGTATCTATCTATACTGTAAAGTATCTGCACACTCCTGAATGTTGTAAAATAATAAGAATAGTAATAAAAGCATTGTATTCATTTAGCCTATTTCTGGTATCAGTTTATGGCACAGGTGTAGACAGTAATTTGAAAGCCATACACATAAATACGCACTGGTTACTTGACTATCCCAGCTTCCCATTTAGACATTTATTTTGCAAAAATAAACCTGTTACTATAGTCAGTATTATTTCATTAAAGTCAGATTATTTATTCTAGCTTTGGAAGAGCTACTTGCAGCCCCTCAGAAGGTTTTGCAGCCTTGTGTGTTTTAGCACAGGGAGCACAGTTAGATCCCAATCGAGAGGCATAAATTTGCAATGAAGACAAAACAACCAATTCTCTTAATAAACAGCAGCTCCAGAAAAAGAAATGGTATTAAACTGTGTGTGGGCATATGTGTATAACCCTTGTACAGTTTAGTAATGTCTCTCAGAGATGTTTTGCAACAGTGTTGCAGGAAGTGGATCAAAATAGGGATCTAAGAGACTAATCAGACCATTTGACTCAAACAGGACAAATAGACTAATAAAACATGCGTAGAGCATAAAGAGGAGGTAGTTGCAATATGCTGCTTTATATTGAATGATATTGTATACCAGAGAGGATGACTCTTCAGGTCATGTGCTAATATCTTATTATCGCCAGCTGGAGTAGGGCATTCCAGTCCCCCACCTTGCTCCTTATGTTTGCCTCCAGTCATCTGCTGCAACAGTCTCAGTAATCACTCCTTTACAATGTTTTTAATACACCATTTTAACTATTGCCCATTTTTGGTAAGCTTCGTAAAAGAGTATAAATACCTTGTACAATGTGGAAAAAGGCTCAGTAAATATTGTTCAAGAGATTGGCTCGAGTGCAGGTGGAGAGGGGAAATTCTCCAAAAATGAGAGCAACTTTCACTATCAACACGTGGCCTTTGCAAGGTTTTCCAAAAGGAGTGTGTTCATGTTAGATGAGGGCTAGGAGCAGGAAAAACAATGCTAAAATAAACATAACAAAAGCAAAACGGCAGTAAGAACCTGTATCATAGTTTGTGCAAAATTTTTCTGAAAGTTAAAATCCTGTTAAATTTTAAAACTTTATCTATTTCCAATTAGGTTTCTGAATTATTCCATGTAAACTGGCTTTATGGTGCAAAAATGTGGGATGTTTTGTCTGTTTTGATTGTTGTTTCTAAGGGATTTCCCGCAAGTATGCATTTTTGTGGTGATGCGAGTTATCCTAGTGGTTAGCTTCTTGGCTTTTTTCTCTCCTAGTGCTTGCATCCATTTTGAGAAGACTCTTAATATTCTGTATGTTTCCAAATGTGCTGTAAATAATAGGAATCTCACAGCTTAAAGGTTTAACAGTCTCTTTCTGTGTTGCTTAAAGGAAGTGCCCCCATTTTACATAAGCCACTCATGAACAATTAGCAAACTTATAAACAATTCTGCCATATAATGGCCGAATTAGGTAATTTGGAAATACATTCAATTAAAAACATGAAGCCAAACTAAAGGGAAGTAACACTGATATTTCTAAGCCTGGTGGATTCTGCCCTTGTCAAGAACAGATTTGCTGTTTGGCTAGCAGTACTGCTCATCTCAAAGGATTTGTCTAACTCAGCAGAGGTGATCAAGATAAAGTCCACTATAGCTAATGAAACTTTAGTACAGTTAGCTACATTCAAGATAACCTATCGCGCTTGTTTGCTCAAAACGTACTTAAAGACAAATCTGAGCCCATTCCTGCCTACAACTGGCTTTTCTCACTAGGCATTAAATTGTTCGTTAGAAAGGGAAGATGTTGTCAAAGAAGAGACAGAGCTTCTTACAGACATTTCTTCCTTATCTTCTAGAAAACACAGGCTTCTTAAGCATCTGTTTGATGCTATGGCTACATGTGAAGAGGTCCATGCCTCAGAAACGCTCCTTTCTTGGATCTTTATCTTAGAAGTGGCAAGTGGTGAAGAAGGCTGGAGAACAAACAACAAACAAATAACAAACTCTTCTGAAAATTGACAAAAGAACCATGATTCTTTGTATTGGTTGCCATGTGAAAACAATGTTGTCTTGGAGACTGGTATGCACTTCAAAAATTATGATGATTGGGAAGAAAACTTCTTTTAATTGCTAGGAGCTATTTAATTGTAGGAAAGAAGGATGGTGGCAGGTCATGATACTGCATTAGGAGGAATGAGTTAGGAGAGTTTGAGGTGGTTGGTTCAGATGGTGGAGGCTTCATGGCGTCAGTAGCAAGTTCATCATCTGACCTGAGGGTCGTCAGTTGAAAACAGGCATAGAAAAGTCTCTTCTTCTAACCCTTAAATGTGCACCAGGGAATGCATCCTAGCTGGCATTGTCCAACAAGCCAAGCAAAACAGACATTTGAAAGGACTGTGTGTTTCCAGTGGAAGTTTACTTGTTCTATCTTAATATCTGAAGTTAGGCTGCTGGTAGGATTACCACATTAAATCTCAAATATCGTTTCACAAGAACAGAATGAACATGCCTCGAAACTTACTGTCAGAGAGACTTTTTTTTCCTTTTCTGAAGTTTCTGATGATCGGTGCTCAGCTGAACCTGATATAGCAGGTGCAGAATTTACCTGTAACAAGAGTGTAAGAGAGTGCATTGTATAATTGAAAGATGCTTGTGTAGAAATCACAGCTGTTATCATGTAGCCAGGCACAGTGTGGGTTCTCCTTGGGCAGCAGTATCATTACACCTCAATCCTGCTCTGCAACACCCTGAATACAATCTACTTGTTTAACAACTGGCCTCTCAAAGCAACCACGCTTAATGTCCTCCTCTATTCCTGCCACGCGTCACTTGGCGTTTGTTGTAAGAGCACTGATTTCAGCGAATCTCTGGAATTCATGGAGATATCATGTGCTTTTATTAGCATTTCAATCTACTTCAGTAATTAAAGCATGTTTTAGTTGTGCATTTTGATACAAAAAGAGGTGCCTAAATTCCCTACTCCTGTAGGGGATCCCTACTTCTCTAAAGTTCTGAGAAAAGGAGGCCACGTCAGTCTAATCATCTTCCCTCCATGCATTAACATATTTGTTATACCCCCAACTCTGAGCTAGAGTGCTAGATAGAGAGACACAAAGCAGCAGGGGTGCCAGGTCATTAAGAGCAAAAACTACAGGAGTTTCTATAGATGGAGCGTGCTGTCTCTTCTCTCTTGCATGAATGTACAGCAAATCCTGCATCTTGAACATTTCAGCTCTCCCCAGGTCTAAAAAAGCAAGCTTCTGATTCTAGTCATGCCATATATATTGTGAGACTTAGGCGAGCTACTTGTTCAAGCCATTTGAGAAACTGCTTCTGTCTTCGGGTTCCAGAGAGTGGGAAGAGGAGGGGGAAGGGGTGGTGTGGTTGATTCCGTGTGAGAACACTGTAGTTCAGAAACGCATTTCATTCCCAATGGAAAAGGAGCTTGATTGCCGTTTTGTCTTTAGAGACCGTATGCTCCAGCCACAAAATCCCAGCAGCTTTTAACACCCAGTCTGACATAACTGACAGTCTGTTCTCAGGAGGAGTCTCAGCAGAGCGGGGATAGTGCAGCGTTTGCAGACTGTGATAAATATGCATTGGTAGTGCTGCACAGAGGGAAGCTTGTAGAACGAGTACTTAGTCCTACTCTGCAACTTTCCTGCTTTCCTCTCTTGGGCATCTAGTTCCTAATTATGACAGATCTTATAAATCTGTTGCAGGGGCGAAAAATCTTCTCTCTGAGCCAGTTTAACACAGTCGAGCTGGTATCACTGTGTCCTAAGTGCAACTTCACTTTTGTTTTTCCAAAGCAAAAGACTAAACACTAAAAATTACAGATGTTGGGTCAAATGGGCAAAATGAAACGCAAATGCTTTTGGAAATAGTGCATGTAGTAGTATGCCAAAAGCATCTGCGTTTCTTTTTCAAAACTGAAGTGTCCCATGGCTAAAAACTCTCCTTGAAACTTTTGCAACTACTGGTCCAAATTACATTGATCTTTTTCAATGTTTTACTCTGTTTCTGAAACTTGTAAAGCTGAGAATGCCACAGAAACAGCCCACAAGTTATAGTTGCATATGGCAAAGATCATTTCTTTCTCTGCTTAGATAAGCCTTAATTTGAGTAAGAGCTACAATGATTTTTAATGTACTCTGGAAAAAAGATGTGCTAAACACCATGTTTCATTTGGGAACAAAGAAAAGCCAAAATTACACAATTATAACTGGCAGTTAGGTCAATCTGAGAATCTGTGAAAAATTAAATTCTCTTTTGTGCCAGCTAATACTGCCTTTTTTTTTTTTCCTGTGTTAGTCACTCTTCTTTGGAGAAGTCGTCGTGGCTACATCTTTAGCTGTACGCTCCATCTACCCAACAGCAATAGTGGCATGGTAATGGTGATAGTAGGGTAAACAAAACCAGTCAACTAGACAAACGCTTTCTAGTATGAAATAGCCTCTTTGCTTTAAGAAGGCTGCTTATAACCTTGAAGTTAAGCATATGTCTAAGCATTTTTAAAATTAGGCTATTAAACTGTGTCACAGATTGCTGTATGAATAATAAACTTGTTTGTAGGACAAGTAGAATCAGGCAAATCAAATGAAAATCTAAACTAAATATAAAGAATGACATGTAATTTCCAAGTAAGAGTCACAAGTCAACACTGGCTGGTAATTAAAGCTTATGTAATCTAATGGCTATATTCCATGGAGACCACTTTGCCTTAATGGAGT